ACTTTGGCCCGGGATTTGCTTCCTGTGGCTGTGTGTGTGTGTGTGGGTGCATGTGTGTGTGGCTGTGTGTGTGTGTGTGGGTGCGTGTGTGCGTTTCAGAACGAATAGTTGTTGTACTTAGTATTACCAGGACTCCTGGGGCCTCTAACACACAGAGAGACGCATGCTTTAGATAGCTGAGGTGAGACAGTTAAGACGGAGAAGCCATTAGAAATACCACACACACACACACACACACACACACACACCTCTCTGGTATTCATTTTTGAAAAACTTTGGTGAAGATGAGTAAGTCACAAGATGTTTGGGCATATTTATGTCTCCAAACTAATGAAGGAAACGAATTACTTAAAAGTCATGAATGAAAGCAGTTGTGCTGCGTACTTTTCACAAATATTTCCCATTTTTTCCCCACAGGAAGTAAAAGTCTTGTTTGCAGTTATATTCCAGTTTCAGTCATTTCTGTAACAGCTGCAGTGTTACGTAGTAATCCTGCCTCTTCATCAGCGAGAGCATCAGAACCACGCCATAAAAGTTCTGACACACTATCGAGTAGTTAAAAATGAATGGCTTTAAACTGAATTTAAGAGGCGTTGCAATTAAAGGGAGAGATCCATTACTTCAGAGCAGCAGTGAGTCAACAACCTATTCAAGAAACTGAACTCGATCCTGATGTGTCACCCATGTTCTGGTTCATGAGTATGCAACGTATCCGTCGTCTCTTTGGCGAGCAGAGAAATAATGTGGCGTCATGTTTGAACATGCGTGGGTGACTTCTACATGCAAATTAAACCCCACGAATTAGAAGGTTACCTGTGCAGCTTTCCCAGGAGCTCCCTCAGCTAATCAGTTCTCAAACAGCTTCACTGGTGAAGTGACACAGCAACACACACACACACACACACACACACACACACACACACACTAAGGGGAAAAAACAAGCAGTGGAAAATTGAGACCGGGTCCGACTGCCGAGCAGCGTGAATCACAGCTCAAACAAAGCACCCAGGTTTCTGTCTCGGTGAAGGTGAAGGTTTCCTATTGTTTGCTTCTGGGATGACAGCAGGACTCACGTCATGTACCAGCCCACAGTGGGCAGGAGAGCGAGCGCTACGGTATCTCACAGTTATTAGCTCAGCACACTGACACGGCTTTATTAGCCCGAATTAGCGGACAGCACTTAACTATACAACAGCAGCTGATCCATAAAAGTGTGCGACAGTGGCAGCGACGACAACTCGAGGCCAGTGTGTGGAAGCCACGCTCGCAGACCTGCTCAGCGCTTAGTGATAGTTGGCACTAATTAGAGCTGTGCTCCTGGTAATTGCCCACAGACAAAACTTAATTTTAGGAGGGTTGCTGGGGAGACTCTGTATATTCTGCACAAACCTCCTGTGCAACCTATAATTTAGCAATCCTAGAAGAATCTCAATATAGAAAACTACACAATGTTCATTTATTTAGACGATCCGCTGCTTTTATTTATTCACATTGTTTGGAAAACAAATGATAAGTCGTATACAAACACGTATTTTTTGTTGTTGACTCGTTTCTCCTCCTAACTGCTTGAATGTGTGCGCGTGTTTGCACCTCTCAGTCAAAGTAAAGACAGAAGCTGCAAAAAAAGACGACCTGAGTTGTTATTATGTAAACAGAAATGTGCTTCGATTATAATGACTTTAATTCAGTGTTTCTGTTGACTTAACATCGAGCGCAATCATCTTCATGCTGCCCATAATGACTTAATGGCAACAGTCATTACTGAAAGTAATTTAATGGTGGATGACTCAGATGAGCTCTCTTCTAAAGTATTTACGACGTTCAGCTTTCTATGTGAACCCGTCTCAGTCAGAACGCACACAGCAGTGACGAGACTCGTCACTCATAACTTTAAAGAGTGAGCCGGGACGAAAGCTGGTCCCGCTCATCACAGCGATCGCCACAGTTGTTTCGCTGGACGTGTGCACAGGTGCAGGACTTAAAGTGTACACACACACTTTTGTAACGCCTTTGCGGCCGCTTTCATAGTCTGTATTGTGAGCACCCACGACCTCCTTTCTCAGAGCAGCTGGATAAAGTACACTTGATGATGTGCCAAGTGTGCCTTTTCCCCCTTTTCTACGGCTGAGTTGCAGCTTTTTATCTTTCTCCATTAACCAGTGCTGAACCACGCACAATGATCTCCCACAGTCTCAGCAGGATGCAAACACAGAGCGGAGACACGGGGTAGCAATTGGCCATGTCAGAGAACAGAGGAGCTGCCACTTCTGTTCTGCTTTCATTGACTGGGTTGGTTTGCCTATACAGGCTCAGTAGCCCCCCCTGCTGGAGCCTCTGTGCTGTTTTCACAACGTTGACTGCTTCCCGCCAATTTCGAAGGAAGTAGCCTAATGATATATGATGTGGTGTCATTTATTTCCAGCTAATCTATTAGCAGTATAGGACCAGCATATCAACCGAAAGCTCGCCTCTTCGACTTCCTACATCAGAGAAAACACTGTGGCTGATGGGAAAAATGTAACAGTTACTGCAGGATAAATACTTTTATAGAAACCACAGTGTCATGTGTGAGGTCACATGAACCAGTGCTGAAAGGGACCTCGGTGGTATTTAAACTTTGAAGGAGTCACATTTTTCTACAACTTCACATAAAGATACTAAATGATGCACTTTTACATCTACACACGACACTGTTAAACATTTGTTAAGTAAATAAATAGATCAGTGTCCAGTTTATTCTTTACAGAGACCATTTTTTACATTCTTACACTTTTCATCATTCATGTGAATATGTGAGGAAGCTACAATGTTTTACAATCTGTTCTTTTAAAACCACAAAACTGGATACAAAGTTACAACTCTATTCTGAATCTGTGTTTTCCTGCATCATAGACATGTGAAGGCCGCTGGCACCACCTACTGACACTTAATAAAAACAAAGTCGTACCGCATTTCCCCCAGCGCTGTTTTGAAACAGCAGGAAAGTATGTTTGTAAAAAAATTTGAATTTCAATGTTTGGATTTAAATTTGAACTAAAATAATCTCAGCTCTCAGGCAGAGCTGCTGGCATACGATTACTTTGATCATCTGCATCTAACAACGATTTAATTACTGAATCATTTTAATCTATAAAAGGACAGAAAATATCTAAAAACGTCTAAAACTCCTTAAGTGGCATCATCCTTGATTTCGTCTTTTTAAACAACAATTTAAATGTGTCAGAGAAGCACTCGAGTAAACATCACACTTTTTACAAGCTGAATACATATTTGTCATTGTTTTTCTTTAAGGTTACGTTTAATATCCATCAATATCCTTTCATAAAATCGTTGATCTATCAGCTCGTCACAGTCACAGGAAGCACCTCTGTTACAAGCGGTGGCGTCTTTCCCAAATGTTGGTTGGTAGTGATCAACACTGAGCTCAGATGAACTTCAGTTCTGCCTTTTCAAATTGTCGTTCCAGCTTATGAACACAATGGAAACTGGGCCCAGAAAGGTCAAGCAGCAAGTGTTGGACTTAAAAGTTTGTGGAGGCATCTTAGCGAGTGCTTTGCACTTGACCCACTTACTAACACTGACCCAGTTCCTAAAAACAGAACAAGAAGCCTGCTAGCTTTCTCCAGTGCTCACTTACCACTTGTCAAAAAGATTTTTTCAGGACCCAGAAATCTAGAAAATCACAGAGTAATCGATGCGGCTCATTTAGCAGCGCTTCTACAGAAAAGAAGACGCACAATTATAATTCTCCAAGGCCACTTTTGTACTTTTTGGATTGGCCAACACCAATTAAAATTTGGACAGGAGCCAATGACACAAATGCGACGTGAAATAAGTAATAAGTCATCTTTTGGCAAATCTCTGTTTGTGTTGGTTTGAATATTCTTGCCTGATCACGATGTTTTTGTCAGTGTTGGAGTCGTATCACAAACTGCAGGTTTGTCAGTAAGGAGCACTTTCTTCCTACAGTGAAACACTAAATGCTTAAAAGTATTTCTGTTCAAACTATTTTTATTGGAAATTCTGCACATTTTCTTTTAAGTCATGAAATTCTTTGGTTAAAAATCACAGTATCAGCTCTCGACAACAGTACGAGTCAAATCTCTATAAAAATGCACAAGAGCCGCTCCAGCAAGGATCATCAAGTTCTGTCATGAACCCGGTGACACCACCGCCTGCAGTAACGACCACGCTCACTAGATGGTGACATCTTACTGGCAAAGAAAGTGAGCCGGACCGCTATTGGACTAAAAGAAACCAAAGGAACGCCTCTCAAATTACATTTCAGAGCACCAGAGTTGGCTTTTAAAAACAGCAGCATGGAGGACACGCACTTCAAAGTTTCCAGTTCAGCTCCACTGGGTCAGGGCGCAAGAGTGTGACGGTGGACTCCCTGATGACAGATGGACTGAGAGCAGTCAAACAAGCAGATGTTTGGGGACCCTGCGCTCGTCAGCGCTAGAGACGCAAAAGCCAACACGCCTGGCACTAGATTCAAAAGAGAGATGAAGAGAAAACGGGGAGTGTGCGGCGAGGAGAGGCACAAAAAAGAAAGTAAGAAGAGGGAGTGACAGAGAAAGTGAGAGTGAGCGGCACGGCAGGGAGCAGGAAAGTGGGGAGAAAGGAAAGAGAAAGAGCTCAGATCGGGGGAGGGAGTGTTTTTATCCTCATGTGCACTCAGTCAGAGGGTCACTGAGTGCGATTGTTCCTGGACTGCCTGTCAAAACAGCGTGGCGACCAAAGCGCCTATTCACTGTGAAACACAGACGCACACAAACACACATTAGCACTCTCACGCATGCATGTGCACGCAAGTGCACGTGGAGCCTCCAAAAACTCTTTATCAGTGCTCTTATTAAAAGCAACTACTTGACAGCAGCTTCAAACCCAGCTTTTTTAATACCTGCGTCACAGCACCACCATCATCCAGCGGCTCTGAGCCCTGTCACAGGCGTGCACAGACAAGTGAATAACTGCAGCGTGAACGAGTGAACACTCACACAAAATGCCGTCTTACCAGATAAAGGAGGAAAGTGTGCAAGCCAGTGCCAAGACCCACAGAGGAGAGGATGCCCAGACCGACCCAGTAGGCGCACCACAGCGTCTTCTTCTCCATGTAGCACACATACTGCAGAGGCCAGAGAGAGGGACGGTCAACCACATGGCAGAGACACATGCAGAGTGTGAAGAAAACAAGAAAAGGGGAAGGGGAGGGAGGGGGTGTGCACAGTGTGAGCAAGGAAGGGACAGAGTGAGAGGAGGTGAGAGTGTGTGAAACAGAGGGTCCTCTAAAGGCTGCGAGAAAGAAAGAGGGAGAGGAAGGAGAGTGAGGGAGAAAGCTGAGGTTGTTGAGTTTACAGGACAGAGCTGTAGGGTAGGAGTGTTCAGCACAGAGCACCATTATTCTTTCCTGGTGGCAGCCAGCTCTTACACAACAAGCAAACAGAAGAAAGCCAAGATCTCTCCTCCTCTGTTCATCCCCCACTATCACTCCATCTATCGCTGCTGTTTACACCTCCTCCTGGAAGCCCGGGCAGGTTGTTTTCAGGGGGAAGCATGGAGTGTGTAGATTACGGGAAGAGGGGAGAAGGTGGGGTGGGGGAAACCCAGGAACACAACAACAGCACATACACTCTCCGGCTTTACTGGCAGGATTCTGGGAAGCGCAGTGCCAGCCAAGGGAGATTGTTACGTGTAGTTACTGAGAAGTGATTACACAACTGTATGACTGTAAATAACGCTGATTTTCTTTCCCCGTATTCCAGGGGGCGTTAAAAACAGCAAAAATGTGAACCGTGAAACGGCATGCTGCATTGAGAAGTATATTTATAAGAAACTGGCAGATACAACTAAGCACGTTTATGCAAATATCAGCTGTCAGACAACAACATACTACTGTCAGATGAAACCACAGATTTCAGGCTACAGCTGATGTGGATGCACGGGCAGGACAACCCTGCAGCAAATATACATATTGCATTCAGTGCTGCGGTGGGCTAAAGGTCAGGAAATATAATCACCAAAAAAGTGACTGCCACAGGACCAACTACATTAATAACCTCCTTGCATATGAATATTTAGGATACGCCAAGAAATGCAATATGTGCAGAGTTTTAGTCACCTGGGTGTGTGCTCCTTCAATACGATAGGCAATGGAGAGGAGGATCAGCAGGATCAGCAGGCCAAACACAGTCTGTCTCTGCTGCCAGAGCCTGGATGAAGAAGCAGCGAGTGAAGGTAGACAAACATGAGACGGAAGTTGGTGTAAAAAGCAGAAAGACGATGTTTAGTAGGGGAATGAAAGTTTGACGCCAGAGGGATCGTCAACAAGGAAGTGTTAGTGAAAGAGAAGGATTTCAACTTTGGACAAGAGAGACATCTGTTGGAAGCTAATCAAATCACCGCAGGTCTTCACCCATACGAGGCCGTGCTTCCAGATGGTGATCCGAGTAATATACAGCCTATAAAAGCACGTGCTCGGCCATAAGGGCCGTTACTGGCACCTCGTTAACATGTGTGGAGAAAGTATGAGAGCAACTTTATACAGGGCAGAATAAATCCAAAGCAGAAACTCTCGCGATAGTAGCAAAGACATTTATAGACTTTGAAAAATAAGTTATTGTACAGACGTTCACTCACCGTAAAAAGATAATGCTCACGTATTTATTTTGAATGTTAGAATTAAACGTTTTATGAAAAAACAAAAAGACAGAAGCTAACTATGCTATCATCAGATTTATGGTTGATGCTAAGCCAGTGGTTCCCAAACTTTTTTTGCTGGGCCCCCCTTGTTTTACAAGAAAAATGTTCGCGCCCCCC